TTTTTGGACGATTATATCTTTATTATAATTCAGTTATTTCAATAATACCTTAATTTTCATTTTTCAATATGTATTTAATTATTTAAATAATATCTTACTTTCTATTTTTCAATATATATTTAATCATTTGAATATATTGTCATTAATTATTTTGTTTACTATTTAGTTATGAAGAATGTACATTTTACACATTCATTATCTTGCTTTTTCGTTTTTCAATATATATTTGATTTATTCAACCATTTAAACAATATTATCATAAATTATGTTGTGAACTATTTACTTATGATCAATGTACATTTGAAAGAATCATTCGACTTGATTGGAGAGTAAATTAAATTCATTAAAAAAATTTGGAAGAAAAGGTGATTATTTTGAGAATTTTCTTCCAATTGAGTCATTCAAAAATGTTAAGATACAATGAAAGTAAATGGGGGACATAATGCATATCAATAATAAATAATTTCAATTGATATATTCAATGCATATTAAGTTAAGATGAAGAAATAATGGTATGAGTTGAATGTTCGCTTCAAATCAAAAGGGTAAACGAATGAACTATTCTAATTGACTTCCTCAACTATTTAAATTGTTTTCACGGATTGATTTTTATTTTCATTTGAATCATCAAATATTTTGCTTTATTTTCTAGCACATCAAGAGATAGGTTTAAGCCAAATCGAATTACTCCCGCATCATGGAATCAAAGGTTATAAAAGACTTATCTGTATATGAAAATTAATCATCCATTAAAGTGACGGTAGTTCGAAAGAGTTTGGTTGAATCTTATTCCAACAATGTTGGTAAATTTGATATTGTGAGACTCGTCTTAATTGATAAGGAGATAATTAGTTTACTACGATGACTATTTATTTCGTAATTACATTATATTAATATACGAGAAGTGACATAATATTTGACTTCTCCGCAGAAATATAAAATGCAAGTCATGTTATATAAAAAAGCTATTTAATAGTGAGATTTTCATTGAATAAAAAGTCTATTTTACATTAACTATTTATATTAACTATTTTTTTATATTTATGCATTTTCAAATATTATTTTTATAGCACCTATAAATTATTTCAGAATAACGTGCAACGCACGTTCTACTATGACTAGTATGATTAAAATGGAAATTACATCAAACCGGATTTTTCAAGTTTCAATTTCAAAAATCAGATAAAATTTGTTTATACAAAAATCAGATGATAATTTGATATTTTAATTTAATAACCCTATCAATTTTTTTAAAACCTTAATCATTTTTAACTCTTCTTTCTCTCTCAAAATCTCTTCATTTTCTCTCTATATTTCCATTCTCACTTCTCTCATTACTGTGCCACCACTGGAGGTCTGGAGCACCGTCTGCATTGGGCTCACGAAGCCTTCGATCAGTCAACATCTTCGACGCACAACAACACATATTGCCACAAGTTCGCACCGTTCGCATATCTGCTTTTATTTTCTACCATAAAGCCTTCGATCGTGAAGCCGCCGAAGCGAGAGGAAAGTAAGGCCAAGCAAAAACAGTCGGCAGAGAAGAGGAAAACGAAGAAGACGGCTTGAGAAGTAGATAAATGTGGCTGGAGTAGAGTTGGCGGAAGCCGCCAAGTGCTAGAACAACGACTCGAAACTGTAGACAAGTGCGGTTGCCAGCAGTGGCTAGAGTAAAATCGGCCAAAGGACGAATCAGACCTGTAGAGGAGTGCGGTTGTAGTGCTTGGTGCAGATGAACTCTCGAGCTACTTGTCTTACGTTGTGGGTGCAGTGGTGGTGTGATGGTGTATGATGAGGGTGCGGTGGTGTTGAGGTGTGGTGGTGGATCTGGCGATGGTGTCGTAGTTATTGTGGTTGTTGTGGTGGTAATCAGGTGGTTGTGGAGGGTTCTGTGCGGTGGTGTTGTGGTTGATGTGGCGATGACTAAGGGTGGGCGTGGGTTGGGTTTGGTCGATTTTGCCCCCAACTCAAACCTAACCCAACACGGTCGGTTTGATCTAATTTCAACCCAACCCAACCCAATCAAATTTCGGTCGGGTCGGGTTGGGTTGGTTTGGACAAAACATAATTTATTACCATATATTTCAAATAAAACCAATACGTCATCCAAATAAGATTAATATTTAATACAACGTACAACCATTCGAATAAAAAGTCACCCAAATACAATTAATACAGCCATCCACTGAGTAAATATTACATCTCAGAATTAATATAGTAAACTTGTGGGAGCTGAGTAACATCTCAGAAGAGCTGCCATCCAATGTCTGCAATCTCCAAATAAATCCCAACAAAAAACGGCAGATGTTGATTCTAAACTGCACAAGTAAACAGATCACGTAAAATGAAAATGTTGGAAGCTTGATTTGTCTGCATAATATAAAAGTTTTTCACATGTTCCATTAAGTAACTGTCTGCCTGGAGAGTGATTATAAAAGAAGGTAATTTTATAATCTTACTGATTTTTTGTAAATTTCAGGACCCCACCTCATTTCTTATAGATTCAGCATTTTTTTCTAACTAATGAGGGTGTCGAATTTCAGTTCTTGATTAAAATTCTCAGCTTGTTTTACAAATAAAGAGTTCCACCTGCCTAACATATTCCCATTTCTTAGCTTCCAAAATGGAAAACTTGATTCACTTAAATTAAAGAATTTCCATCTATTGAATTAGAAGCTTGATCTTGGATATATACTTGCACACACTACTGATGTGATATGAAGTAAAGCTAGTAAATGAATTCTTTGAATTCTAGAGGAGGATATTACCTGAGAATGCTAAGTTGTTAAAATCTTTGATCCCAAGGCAAGTAGTTGTGTGAAAACAGATAGTTTGAGGGATAACGAGGTTCCATTATTCAAATCTTTGATCCCAGGCACCTCTTTTAAAACAAATAGTTTGTCCATTGAAGCTGACAATCTTCAGATATTCTAAAAACACATAGCATAACACAGTGATTGTAGATATGCATATTCCAATTAAACGAATTATAAGAAGAAATGATTTTAACAAGACTAGATACAGAAAGTTTTTAACTTACAAACACAGCAGGAATAACAATTATGACCAAGCTCAATTATATTAATATATAGCAAAAGTAATTCTGCAATACTAGAGCTCTGTAGTCTGCAATATTCAGTAGCCTATTAGCGTAAAAACTGTACAAGTCAATTATACAGAAATAAGAGAACTAATGGAAACATAAAAATCATGAAATTATTGATTGATTAATATGCCTATCTCAAAAGTAATTCTGCAATACTAGAGCTCTGTAGTTTGAAGTATTAAGTGACCTATTAGGGTAAAAACTGTACAAGTCAGTTATACAGAAATAAGAGAACCGATGGAAACATAAAAATTATGAAATTATTGTCTGATTAATATGCATACCTTAAAAGTAATTCTGCAATACCACAGCTCTGTACTCTGAAGTATTAAGTGACCTCTTAGCATAGAAACAGTACAAATCAGTCAATACAGAAATAAGAGAACTGATGGAAACATACAAATCATGATTAATATGCCTACCTCAAAAGTGAACTGGTAAAATGAATGAATCACTTAGCGTTGGGTTCGTGGTCATCTTCATTTGATTTTGAATTCATTGATTCTAAAAGTTCATCCATTTGGTTGTAATGCTCAACATCTTCCTTGCAAAAACTATCCAAGTTCGGAGAAGCCTTCAACCAATTTTGAGTACATACTAAAACCTCGACCATTCTAGGACTTAAGGAACTA